CCAGAAGTGATTTTTGCTCGGCAATGGCAAGGGCATGTGGAACCGAGCTACTTCACCTTGTCGGCACGGAGGCCGGTCAAGTAAGGGTTCCACGGTTTATGCGTTGCGCGGTTGGAAAGCACGCATCCATAGCTCGGCGTGAATCGGCAGGAAGGACTTTGGTTAATCGATATAACTAATCTCAAGCTTGGCTTCGCCGGAATGCAGTCGAGCATGGCTGGAAAGGAGCTCGGTTGTTGGGGGCACCTGGTCATGAATCGCAGCATGGCCGTTGACAGCCGAGATGCTACAGCCCGGCTGCCGAGCTCCCAATACAGTGGGCTGGCAGTCGGGTTAGGTGATGTTCAGCAAGATTTGTGTTGACAGATGGGATAGCAGCACCACGTGTCGAGAGACGAATGTGAGTAGATTTGGGGCGCAGAAGGTATATAAGCAAGTCTGCGCCCCCCATGCTGTCAGAGATCAACATTTGGTAAGAGAAACACTTACACTCAACTCTCTCCTCACTCTCTCTATCCTCGGGTGTGTGCTAACTTGGTCGTCAGAGGGGTTTTCCTGCCACACACCGCCGGGTAGCTCACTGTTGTTGTGCACGCAGGTGATCGGACAGAAACGGAGCTTGGAAGAAAGGAATGCGGGCTTGCCTGAATATTTGCTCCCCGTACAATTGGCGCCGTCTGTGGGAACTTGACAGACAAAACATTGTCTTCCAGGCTCATCTGATCACCGTCTATAGCGAACAACGACAAGATTCCATTGTCTGCCATCGACGGAATTACCCCAGAGTCAGGCAGACGGAGAGAAGGGCATCCCACCATCGTTCTTCCGATGGCGGGCCTGGAGACTTCTCCAGGAGGACATTCAAGAGATGGGCGGGATAAGCGCGGAAGAAGTTATGGTCATTCACGGAGTCCAGACGGTCATCGGCGACGGAGAGAATCACATGCCAGATGTCTGGAACACAAGTTAAGGGACCAGGACGCCGTCATCCGGCGAATAGCGGTGGAGATGGAGAAACTGAAGCGGCATGTTAAAGGGAAGGGTGTAGCTGGAGTGAGAGACCACAGTGAGCGTACCCAACCCCGCCGTTCAGGCAGTCAGAGTCAGCGACACACTGCATCCATTTCCATCACCAAAAGTTACAAGGTTGGAGATTCCGACCTGCACGAAGAGAAGTCCAGCGCGCAAGACAGCACCTATCGACCCTCGAGGTATTCTTATTCCGCTTGTTTAGAGGATTTGCGGGCAGTTTTAAAGGAATGAGCTCGCCGGCGTTTTAATGATAATTTATAAAAATTATGATAAAAAAATTATTAATTGTTAATTTTTAACAACGTGTATAAAAAATTGTCAAAAACAATATTTTTAGTTTCAATTTATCAAGATTTATTTTTAATAGGACTTGTTAAAAATTAAGTCTAACTATTAGAACCTATTGATAGTTTACTCTAAAATTTATACATAAAAAAACATCTCAGAAAATATTAATTATATATTATGAGATTAAAATTTAAGAATTATTTGGAAAGTTAGCTTTTTAGTTAAAGAACGTCTTTAAAATGAACGTGTCGTAACTTTGATCTTAAACTTAGGAGAGAAAATTCTTATCACTTAAGAAACATATTTATTGTGATATTAAGTTTTTTATTTTTATTTTTACTTACTCAAATTATATACATACCATGTGTGTTTAGTGGCGGAACAATGAAGGGACTAGGAGGGCACATGCCGCCTCTCAAGTTTTGTAATTTATTTTTATTTTTATTTTTTTTGCATATAAGAAAAATAATTTATCGATAAAAAATTTATATATAAATAACATTTAGAATGATTTCTTAATAATATTTTTTAAATTACGAAAATAATTATAGTTATTTTGATTAAAAATAAAAAAGAGCACTGCTGGGGACCCCTAGTGGGGGTAACCCCCAGCACCCCACCTCCACGTGGGGGGTTGTGATGGCAAGGTCAAAAAAAAAAAAAACTGTTTTCAGCCAATCAAAAATCAGTGGGGATGGTGGGGGTCCAAGATATTTTCCAATGAAAAAATTACAACAAATCATATTATTAAAAAAAATTTAGTGCAACAGTGATATCAAATCATCACTTACATGTAAACATAGTTAACCCCACTACAAAAATGAAAAATTATTGAATTGTTAATTATATTTAACAAGTGTGATTGGCATTCCATGAGTTATTTTACTATTGATTAGTGATATCATATATCGATGATAATGTGGTATCATTATTATTTATATATTATTATATAATCTATTATAAGGCATACAAGACTCTTTTGCATAGCCTATAATACACTAGTTACAAGTAATATCATATATTTCCAATTCTGATTTTTCACAAGGTCAATTATAAAAATAAAAATTTTATATTAAATATTTAAGATTTTGTGCGTAATATTAATTTAAAAATTATTATCTATTGTTATTGATTATGAGAAAAAAAATTCAAAATTTTAATTAACAAGTGTTCCTTCTAAATTAGTTTTCTGGCTCCACCACTGCGTGTGCTAACTGCTAATTTTTATATATATTCAATAATGCTACGCACACAGAGGGGGAGCACAGAATCAAACACAGAAGCATATAGGTTCGACGATTGGGATGGTTATCTGGATAATAAAATGATAGTCACAATTGACAAGATGATAATCAATCGACTGACTGAACAGCCGAATAATCAACTGAATGACAAAATGATAGCCACAATCAATAAAATGATAGCTGATTAAGCACTCGATTATTCTACTAATTGTCCGGCCTATATATTTCTGTGTTTGATTATGTGATTCCCTAATATGCATAACCTTACTGATATAGATTTTGTGTATATTTCTCCTCAGCAATAATGTCTTTTTCTATATATAAAGCGTGAGACTGAGAATTCAAAAGCGAGTGTGGGCTAGAACTATAAGTGGAGCGTGATATGCTCCCTCACTAGAAATATCAAATATTCTGGTGGCCTTGGCTTCAACTCTCATTCTCTTCCTTAATGATTGCAAAGTTTCTCAACCCAAATTATAAATATTCAGCAAAGATGAAAGAGAAAGTTACGTTTCAATAAGCCAGGGGTGGGTGGCATTATGCTTAAAGTTTGAGATTTAAGTTTCAAGATTATAGGTTTAATTCTTTCTCCTTGGACCAATTTTCTGTGTAAAACACAGTTGGTTAGGAGGTTAGATCTCAAGTTGTTTAATCAACACTTGGTGTGGGTTCAATACTCCCCCGCTGTGCGAGTCCTGACTTAAGCGGAGTTTGTCTTGGAAGGTCGGGACAAGTTCCTAGGTTATAATCTCTTCACTCGGAACGGCTAACAGGACACCCTGGTGATCTCTGCGAGGGGCGCTGCCTTGGACCTGCGGAAGAGTAGAGAGGATTTTCCTGTAACAAAAAAAAAAAAAAAAGGTTACATTTCAATTTAAAATTATGTTTAAATTTTAAATTTATTGAAGAAAAAAAAATGAAAAGCATGCCTTCCAATTTTAATTTGAGGGCTACCATATATCATCGGATTAATTTATAAAAAAATGATACTATATAAGTTTATTTTTTGAAACTCACTTTCGAGACATAATGATATATAAAAGAAATGATTGACTAATGATTAGAGAATATATGAGAAAGAGAAAGAATTATTTTAAATATTTTAATTCATTGTCACATTATTGAATTTGAAAAATAAATCTAACTTTTAAGCTAAAACAACAATGTTTTAATTTTCTTGATTAGGAAAGGTGGAGAGAGAGAGAGAGAGAGAGAGAGAGAGAGAATGAGAATGGCAGTTGAAATACTGTTATTCTGTTTGAATCTCGAATTACAGATAAAAAATATATATGTATAAATGAAAAGCATAGTCTTTTAATCTTAATTTGAAGGTTGTCATGTATTGCTAAATGAATTTTATTGATTGAGTAGGGTTATATAAACAGAAACCTCAAAAATAATTTTAAATCAAAATTATGTGACAACCTTAATTCTCTTATTTTTAAAATTAAAATTTTATTAGAATAGATTCTATTTTTACAAATGTCATTATTACATTATTTTTGTTAATTGTGATAAATCTTGTATAAAAATCTTGTTTCCAAGTCATTTTCCTCACCCATTTTGGGCAAAGTAGAGAGAGAGTTGAAATTCAATCTAATAGGGTGCATTTGAACTTTCAATTTGTGAAGAAAATAAAAAATAAATAAATTTTATTTTGAAGACTGATACGCATCACCGAATGAATTTTATTAATTTTTTGGCACCACACAACAAACAATATATGTATATATAATATCAACCATACGTACAAATAACAAAATATTTAAAATAAATAAATTTGTCCTATAACATAAATACATAAGAGCATCTTTAATGATTTATCATTGGAGTTATCATTGCTATAATTTGGCAGCTAAAGATGAAAAGTGATGCTCCGTTGGTGTCATATGGCAGCTACCATATGTGTCAACTCACGCAAAACCTCTCTTCCTTCATTTTTTATTCATATTTCAGACAATTTCAGCAATAGCAATGCTACGCACACAAAGAACCAAACATAGAACCAACACTAGACAATCAAAAGACTTAACAAAATTAGTTAAAATTTGTCAAAATAGCATCTGACCATTAGAGCACCATTACGATAATTTGAATAATTTACTAGTATTTATTACTAAATTATAATAATAATAATATTATAACATTTATCATTAAAGATACTTTAACATATGTCAATTTGCTATCATTTTACATGGCCATGTTATGTGTCTCAAAACCTACTCAGACCTTACACACTTGCCTCAAGAACCTCACAAACTATACAAACTTGCAAGGCTGAAATTGACATATTGCAAGTCTAGAGAGAGAGAGAGAGAGAATTTGTGTGATTTTTTCCATGAATATGACAAATCAGCCCATCCCTTCAACCCTCAATGTGGTCCTCCTTTCCATTAATACATTTGAAACCCATCCTTATCCTACACTCCATTTCGCCACTCCTCCCTCCTCTTATCCTACGCATCTCCCCTCCTCTTCCTCTCCCCCCTCTCTCTCTCTTTCTCCAACCCAAAAACAAAAACAACTTCCCACAACAAAACCCATCAACATACTCACCTCTTTCACACACACAATTCATCAAAAACATGTCATCTTCATCTTCAGCATCAGCAATAGTAGTATGGTGTAAAGAAGAAGAGAAAGCATTTGAAAATGCCATTGCAATGCACTGGTCAGAAGATGACTCATCAAAAGAGCAGTGGGACAAGATTGCTTCAATGGTTCCAAGTAAAACCATTGAAGAATTGAAGCAACACTACCAGTTACTAGTTGATGATGTTGCTGCCATCGAAGCCGGTCACATACCGGTCCCGAGCTATGTTGGAGAAGAAGCTTCTTCATCATCAAGCAAGGACCACCACCATGGTTTTCATGGAGTCACAAACACTGCTGTTGATAAGAGATCAAGCTGCAATTATGGAAGTGGGTTTTCGGGGTTGGCGGCAGTGGCACACGACTCCGCCGGGCACAGCGGAGGAGGGAAGGGAGGATCTAGGTCGGAGCAAGAGAGAAGGAAAGGAATTCCATGGACGGAAGAAGAGCATAGGTAAATTCAACCAAACAACCCCCTACTTGTGATAATTACAGTTATTTTACGTTCACAGAATTCAATTATAGAATTAAATACAATTCTCTCATAAGGAGTCGGTCCTACCAATGTTAGAGGGTTGTGTCTAGTTACATAATGGAATTATGTGAATTTAGAATTTTTCATGATAATATTGAGTGAATTGAGTTCAAACGGATAGTTTAGCAATTAATAAACTGGGACGTATTGAGTTTGAATTCTAGTGCAAGTCAGAAACTCAGACATCTTGGTATTTGAGATTATGAATGAATCCAAAAACACCTTTAATGAGGTTTCTCATTATTAAAACTGCAAATGAACCGAGTCGAATTTTTAAGTGTTCGAATTCAACTCACTAAAAATTAGCTAAGCTTGAACTCAAGTTTAAATAATCAAGCTCATGCTCAAATTTGACTTCTCAAAGTTTTGAGATACTCAAAATCAACTCGAACTTGAAAAATTATTAAGCTTAAATTAATATGCACACTAGGAAAACATATTAAAAGAAAAGATTATGAGTAACCATTGAGGATTGCTTAATTTATCTCATCTTTTTGTTTGTTTTGAATTTCAGGCTGTTTTTGCTTGGTTTGGACAAGTTTGGGAAAGGGGACTGGAGAAGCATATCAAGGAACTTTGTGATATCAAGGACTCCAACACAAGTTGCAAGCCATGCCCAGAAATACTTCATTCGATTGAACTCTATGAACAGAGATAGAAGGCGATCCAGCATCCACGACATCACCAGTGTCAATGGTGGGGGTGGCAGTGGTGATGTTCCGATTCAACAACCACCCATTACCGGTCAACAGACAAACCCGGCAAACCCAACAACCACATCGGCTATTGGACCACCACCAGTGAAGCATAGGGCACCAACAAATATGCCCGGTTTGGGCATGTACGGAGGAGCACCTGTAGGGCATCCAGTAGCTGCCCCAGGCCACATGGGTCATATGGGGTCGGCAGTTGGTACTCCAGTTATGCTTCCTCCAGGTCACCACCACCATCCACCATATGTTGTCCCGGTGGCATACCCGATGGCACCTCCAACAATGCACCAATAACAAACAATCCTACAAAGGGATTTTGCTCATTTCTGAAGTGCAGTGACGCAATCTTGAAATGTTTTCTTATCAGATATTGAACCCCATATTCTGAATATACAATAACTACACTCTTTTTTTATGTTCCCTTTGTAACTTGGGATAATTGTAGTCAAGACATTCAGAACTGTCTTGATTCAGCCTTCTGTGAATCAAAAGGACAAACATTAACTCAAAACCAAGATTTTAAATGTGGAACAATTCTTAATCAAAGGATTCTATCCAATCCACATTACATCATTTTACCCGAATTTGAACACCAAGATCCACACTATTCCCAATTTTCCTATCTCCCTATCTCAAAACTCTTTACAAACATAAAATTAGATCATTAAAAATTCACCGCATAGTAATCCCAAGACATAATCTAATGGTTGTGTGGGTTTCAAACAAAGGGGTAGAGATATCTGAGATCAGAAGATCTTTGGCCCGGGATCACTTTCTCCTATTCCCCTCTCCCAACCAAAACAACAAACAAAAAAGATGAATAAATAAACGCAATAATTGAGGACTGACCGTCACATTTATTTCATATATGTTTCATTCATCCCCATTTCAGTAGTTGCAACAGAACGGCGATAAATAAAGGTGTCCCAATTATACATCGCCGTCTCTGCCAAGACAACATGATTTCCTTTGAAAGCTCAAGTCCAAAAACTGATCTTTCAGTCATAATTACGTATGAACCCCACTGATGTTGATTGTTAATCGTCTTCGGGACACCAAACTTAATTCGAATCTACCTTCCTCACATACTATCTCAATCCCAACATTCGGATCCATCCAATGAAACATTTAAAACAATAAAAATCAATATCAAATTGAGAGAGATTTGGCAATCTTTCTTTTCTTCCCTCTTCCTGAACTGTACTACACAGCAAAATTACAAGGGATGCATGAAATATCACACAAAATGATACTCAAAACCGCTTTGGTTTTAAACCAAGGTGCCCGGACAAGACATAATACAACCACCTTTTTTGCCCACATTGCCACCATACTGGTACCACCGCCCGCTGTCTCTTTTTTGACTGTTTTTCTGCAGATGAAGATCAGAAAATATTAGTCCATGAGAATTCAATCCATTGCCAGAAGTTCCTCGTTAAAAAAAAGAAATAAGAAAGTAAAATAAAAGCTTAAAACTCTTGCAAACTCAAGTCTTCTAAATGTAAAAAAAAATGGTCATTTTGACGGGTTTTCTGCGTCCTACATTCCTGCAGTGAGACAAATATGAAAGTGATTTTTCTAATCATAATGCCTATCCATTGCGGCGTCCATGTAAAGTATGTCGGCTAAAATGGAATAGCAAGTGCTCCTCAACCATTTCAGTGCTATAAGAGGTCAGGTCATTTACGGAATAAGAAGTTCAGCCATGCACAGTGCACTAACCCCAAAACCTAAACATTCATAATAAACTGCAAAATTATATAAACAAGAGTTCAAGCCTACAAAGGCATATGCTCAAATTCCATCCTGATAAGAACCTCACGGATGATTGCACATTATTCCAATCGAAGCCATAGGGAATAGATAGGAAATTCAGCATATTTTAAGACAAGGCAATTAATCTGTCTGTGTACTTCACTTGGCTCCAACAACGAAATATCTATCCGATGAAAACAAATTTCATGGGCATGATGGGACAGTCCGTGTGGTTTTTCATGCTATTTCCAGAAGTACTCAACATTATCAAATGTCAGCCAAGTGTCTGAAGTTTTGAACTTCAATTTCAATCATCGACAAGTTGAAGAAGATTCAAATGAATGTCTAGGTGCATTCAGGGAGTGCAGGTGTCAGGCACTGTTGGATATGGTATGTAATCCTACTAAAGGTTGGTAATATGGATACCCACACGAGGCATTAAGTGCTGACAGAATATTTTAGGCAAGCATATTGGTCATGCAAAATAGAATAAAAAATAAAATTCAAAATATCATATAGAAGATGGTTTAGAAACCTTTTGAGTTCTGGTTCATAATAAAGTCAAGAAGGTTTAAATTCTATCAGGACTTCTCAAATCCTTCTTCCCCTAGTTCTTTAAGTAGGTCATAAGTATTCTTTTCTCAGCAAGGTCATCTATGTCAAAACATTTGACAAGATGAATCTTAAACAACCATCTAGCATCTTCCATGTAGATGGTACCTCACTCAACTAGCAATAATTAGAGGGATAAAAGGTATAATCAAGAGGGTTGCTCTCTCCCACTGAATGCCTACCTTGGAATTTACTGCAGAAGTGAGAAATGCCTACTTAAAGTCATAAATGTTTTTCTTGAACCATACCCACTCTACAGGACAATAATTAAAACATACTTTAAACAGAGTTGGTACAAAAAGGAATTGTACTCACTTCTGTCCTGAAAAGCATACGGTCCCCATTGTGAGTGCAATTTTGAATAGAAAGATTCCAGTGCAGGCCAGAAGTTCATCTGAATTTTCAGGACTTCCAAAACAGTTACCAATCCAGATTTAGATGGTACAACATTCACCACTTCACATCCAGGACTTTCACCAAGCAAGACCTTCATCGCAGAGATGCCAAGTCAAAGGAGATGCACATACATAAAACAGACAGACATCACATTAATAACTGTGTAATAAAACCCACATGATATCAATCAAGGATAGAGTGAATTGGCACGCTCTGCGCCTGTGCGCACTCCCACACAACAACCAACGAAAAAGACCTTGTATAAAGGAATGTTTATAAAGCCCACATTATACAATCAAGGACACAACACGTTGAATTTCCACTCATGCTTGTGCAGGGTTTCTCTGTCCAATATCCGAGATAGGAAAATCAAAACTTCATTCATTTTTGCCGTCTTACTTTAGAGAGAGAGAGAGAGAGAGAGAGAGAGAGAGAATTACATCCCACCTCTTCTATATCTTATATGAAGTATCAAAAAGAACTAATAGCACAGGCTGACATATGTAGGACGTACAAGTAGTCATTGGTTAACCAAAAATACCAAATTGTCAAAAAACTTGTAGCATTTACAAGCCTGGGCTGAAATGCATAATCATTTTTTGACTAAAAGTAATGTTATTGCTCAAAATCTTAACCCATATGTTCATTTCATTAGCAGTATTTTTAAGCATAAATAATTTAAACATAATACTATTCCAAATCATCAGATGATTGGATCTTTCTTTTGATAAATAATTTGTTGCCTGCGCTTCATTTTAATGCATGAATGACATAGTAAGGCTTCCATTTTCCTTCTTTAGTACGACAAGCAACAAGTTCATCAATAATGAGAAGATTTGTGAAAAGGAACTAAAGGTCTTTCTTCCAAACAAAACTTCTACTACACAGAAAGAGAACACAGAATGTAAACACGAACACGAAAGAGGATATAGAGATATTCAAGAATAAAGCCCCCTGCTTGGCTATAAAATCAGTTTCTCCACTACTTATATGATGAACTTACAAGCGACGAACTCCTAAAGCTGTGAACAATTCACAAATCCACCTCCTCAAATGCAACCATTCTAACCCCAAGGGGTTGGCCTGGTGGTCAAGGCTTGGGGCCTGAAGCTTGGGAGTGTGCTTCCTCCCAGGTCTCAGGTTCAAAACCTACTAGGTGCATGGAGCAGCTTTGGGCCGACTTTACTTCCCCCCCCCCCCGCACCACCAGTGCTGTGGATTGATCTCTCGGATTAGTTGGTCCAGTGGACCAGATACTAAGTTGTCAACAACAACGACAAAAAAAAAAAAGAGCAACCACTATTTATGTTCTTCTCCGGAGGACTCTTTGTTGTCCCCTCCCTGTACTGATTCTTTTATTTTTTCCCTTCTTTTTTTAATATATCTTAACTTTTGGTGCCAATCAAAAAATAATAATAATTGTACTTGAGGGTAAAATTATCATAAAAATAATCGTTAAATGGTGGGTGTGGACGGAAATAGTGTGTATTTAAAATTTATTCTGTCAAGAAAAGCATGCGACAATTGCTAAACTCAGGCAAAAAATATTTTTCTTCTAATCAAGACCAGGTACTACCCTTTTTCTGAAATTCTATCCAAAATCCTTCAGAAGTCTTGCTATGAACCCTGACCATTTTGTCAAAATTGTTCTAGAATGCAATGAACTGGTTCATATTTTCATTACTCAGAGCAACAACAGAAGTTTAGACTGCATGAATGCCATCAGGACTTGATAGATGTCAAACAGAAGAGATTTTCATGATGTATATTAAGTGCAAACCAGAGAAGGTCTTCACCTTGCCTTGACCCTTCATAAGACTAACGTCTAATATTACTTTCTATAACTAATCTCAAGAATCTCTCAACAAGATGACCATACACCGTGAACTAACTGTATATATTCAAGTTTAAACAAACAAATGACAGAAAAGAACACAGCATAATTAAAACATACTTTAAACGGAGTTGGAACTTCCCAACTACTACGAACCATATTTGCTTTAAGAATTAAAGAACTAATCTCACCTTAATCACTGCAGTAGCAGAGGATGATATTGATCGGAGATTATAGCTGTAGATGAGTACATTAATCCAGTTAGATTTCACGTAAAGCAAAGATTTGAATTATTAAAACCAAGGACCAAAAGTAAATCACAAACCCGCCCTCAAGAATAACAAGCAGCTTTCCACCAGAAAGAGCATTCAACATATGTGTCATTTGTGCAAAGCCGGCAGGAGTTACCTACAAGAGATAATGAAGCCTAGAATAAACATTTGAATCCTGATATCTGATTGAAAACTGTGAGAATGACACAAATCATCAATCTGTTCAGTTAACAAGGCCTTGAAATATGAAAAACACTACGAAAGCAACCATGAAGCTCTTGCATATGATATACCCACAAATTAAATGGATGTCAGCTAATAAGTGACAAAGAAAAAGATCTATTCAGCAGAGAAGAAAATCCTTACATCACAGCAGCCAAGGGGATCACCCCTTGCAGCATCAAATCCTGCTGATATGATGGTGAAATCAGGGGCAAACTCAGAAGCTGCAATCAAGTGTGGTTTAAATATCACTAAATATATTTTTGGCAATAACCAAAAGTAAACAACGATAGCCAGAATGGAATATATTATGGCTGGATATTAGACTAAAAAAAGTATACTAAAGGTATATATTATATATCCAAAACACGCTCAATCTTAAGAACAACCAAAATCGCAAGTGCAGTACAATAATGAGAACAAAGCCTGAACAGTTGTAGCCTATGTAGCATAGACACAGGACACAACACGAGCTCTTTGACATGACAAATCCTAATCAAGTAGGGCATGAACACTGAAACACAATATATTCAAATATCTTTCGTGCATATTGTATAAAAATGCAAATTAACTAATTATTTACGCATTTTTTAGTTAAAATTACAAAATGTGGAAGATAATGCTCCACACGTATCATGTATATAATGCAAACTCCGAGTACTTGTTGTCTTGCTAAATTTATCCTTAACGCTATACTCTTTTGCTGTGCTCAGAGTTGGCGTTGCATGTTCTATGTAGTCATACATATGATGTATTCTTTTTAGAAATGATTTGAAACACATTTGGTGAGTAGTTTCATTCCAAGAACGCCGGGCATTATACCTATTAAGAGATTAAACCTATAGCGCATAGTGGGGAATGTCTGCAAGGTGTTGTGAATTGTTTTAAAAGTGTTGTCAAAGTGTCTGAGATTGTTCAAGAAGTGCCGGACAGGTTTCTCGGAGTGGTGTCAGTGTCAGACATGGGCATAGCTCCTCCTTTGTGAAGTGTTTCTGCTACTTAGAATATAACCCCATAAAGAAACAAAAACAAAAATAAAATTAGAACAAAATCCAATGATTTCAAGAATTTAAGATCTTCAGGACTTCACATCCGCATCTTAGCTTTAAGGTCAGGAAATTAATCAACACAAGTTAGTATTCGTCTAGTTCAATTTTACATTAACAATGACTATCAACTTATACAAACACTAGACTGTGGATCATGAGTGTTGCACATTTGTTTTTGTCAGCATATTAAACAGGAATCTTGGTTAGGATCATATCATTTTCATGTCAAATCCTTCAACGCCATAGGTGCAGACTTTAGAGTTGGAATTAATTTCTTGTATTCCATTATTGGTCTTACTTTACAAATGACTGTAAACAACCCAATAAGCCCCATTGATGTTTCTTGAAAGGTACAGATCTTTCTTTTCACTTCACAACAGAAGTAATAGGAGATCAGGATATTCACCAAGGGCACATGTCAAGAAAAAATTATCAAACAAGAATAGTATCAGTGATCAACTCAGCACCGTTAATTGACTCATGATAATATTTTTGTTAGTCTGTCCACCTAGAAGATAAAAGTAATTAAAGAATGAAATCTTTTATCAAAATTATATAAGATCCCTCCCGAACTATACCCTTAATAACAAAAATAAAAGAAAATGCAGAGACCTTCCTTTCTTTCAAATTAGAAAATAAAATAATAACCTATAGGTAGCACAACATGTTGAAATGCAAAAATATAATCATTATCGCCCACTCCTCCATGACTCCATGGAACATTCACACAGTATCCTTCTGCACCCCTGGTACCTACCTGCAAAAAGAAAAAAATCAATTACGCAATAACATGAATTAAGCCAATAGAAAAACGGAAAAGAGACAAAATCATTAAGAACATTATCCATAGCCACAAAGGAGTTTGTTCGGCAATCCTATGGAGGTAAATTCAATATGTACAAGTTTTCACAACAAAAAACTGTGATGTCCGTAACATATGTTCCACTAAAGTACTAAACAAATAATTATCTGCCAGAGATTACAAGAGAGAGAGAGAGAATCAACAACCTCATGAGCTGCACCTGTACCAGGATAGAACTTCCCACCCTCGTGTCTATGTAAGGAGATATACAGGACCTACACATATGCCCAACCTCATCAGTGCAATAGATTAGAACTACACCAAATCCACAAGCAGTTAGAAGTTTTCATTCAAAGGAAAATTTATTTATGCATATTTATATGAAAAACGATGCTTGGTGTCAATCAGATGCCAAATGCATATGGAATGTAAGAAATTTCAGAAAAATAACTGTGCATAAATTTTTAACTTGCAAAACTTATACATTATTGTCAAATACTAAAATTGTAGGTTCAATGAACCTCCATCAAGAAATCTCTAAATGCAAAAGCTAAAATTTTATGCACAGGAATTGGTTTATGCCTTTTCAGTCCAACTATAAAAGTAACTTAGTCAGCATCCACCACCTCATGTATCATTTCACTCAAATAATTTTGTGTAAAAAGATTTAATTCAAATAAATATTCACCGATTTGTTCCCCTCAAAAATTTCTTGCGTTCCATTTCCATGATGTACATCCTGCAAGAAACAAAAAATTTTCAATTTATGAATTAGAGGTGTTATGCTCACATGCATTACATTCAGTAGTTGCATAAGGCCTCCATCATATATAAATGGAAGCAATTACTATATCATTGCAAACAAAATTATCCAAACAGCATGAAGAAAAGATAAAGAAATATTGACATATGTCACTGACTTTTCAGGGTAAGATACCCTTAGTTTTGCACATAAATTCTCATTAGATTTACAAGATTGTAAAATTACCTAGTAACAAAGACGCAGAAAAAGTATAAAGGAGTTCTTGACATTACCCAATCAACAATTAGAACCTTCTTAGCCCCAGCAGCCTGAACTGCTAATGCAGCAACTGCAGCATTATTGTGGAGGCAAAACCCCATGGCATGCCTTACACCAGCATGGTGCCCAGGAGGTCTAACCTGAATCAGAAAGAAGAGAGACAGAGAGAGGGAGAAGAGAGGGAAAAATAAGTTAATAACAGCTGGTTGCTTTGATAGGTTTATTAACAGACATGATAGGAGACTTGAGAATTGTTCTTACCAAAGCAAAACCATTTTTGGCACGTCCAGAAAAAATTGCTGAAGCAAGATCAGCACACAAACCCGCCGCAAGCCTAGCAGCACTTGCTGAATGCTCATTTGCATATGTATCAGGAGTGAAGTAGCTGCCAATCAACAGGAACTAAGAAATCTAAAGACTAATCTCAACAAATCTGTCAACAACCACATACACCCACCACACGGTCTCCTGTGCATCACTCAACAAAAAGAAAAAAAATAGAACACACGCACCTAGAAAAAATACGGCTTGTAAGCTCTACAGATTCAATGTGCTCCAAAGAGTGGACCTGCAAACTCGAAAAAACAAAGATTCAGCAATGGAAAAGGCACTCGTTTCAAAACCCTATGAAGTAAAAATATGCATCACGGTTCCAACATTATATTGAAGAGGTTCAGCCCAAGAACTAAGATGCATGACCAATAATCCCAGCTTATTGTTCTCATCATACAAACACAAAAAACAGTATACCAGAGAGATGTGATTCAAGTATACTGTCAGAAACATTTTAAAATTATAAAATTTCAGCTCATCTGATTTATTTCCTCAAAACAGTCTCAGATATCAGAAGCAAAATTGAATAGAAGCACTGTTTTATTATCAGCAATAGAATAGAAGTACTATTATATGCATGGATTTTAATTAGCCCTTGCAAGCCTCAAGATGATGCTCATTGCTTACCGTATGTAGTTCTTTTTGTGTGATTTCTCTTGCAGAAATTGGAACACATCGTCCCGGAAATATACCTGCAAAAGTTCAAAATTTGAAATTGCTTGTCAATTGTTTGGGGGACAAAAGAAGCCATATGATTTACCACATAACCCCAGTACACTGTGTTATGAAAATTTTATACTGATAAACAGAATAATAATTGATATGGGTAGCAACAAACCAACTTCTGCAAACACAAACAAAAATAAAAGAAACAAAGATTAACCAACACACCAGCAGTTGCAAGGCTAGCAGCAATAGCTCGAAGTCGATCTGGTCTTTCTGGATGTGGATGTGACTTCAATTCAACCTAACTCCAGCATAGAAACAACAAGAAGCAAACAAACAATAAAAGGAATGTCATTTATAATCAGCATAAGAGATCACTATGCTATGACTAATCATTGAATAGCACACCACTTATGGTTACTACTGAGCAATGACAATCAATTTGAGTGAAACCTTCACCAATTATGCTAGTACACATTCAAATGCAAAAAATAAAATAAAATAATAATGATAACAACAACAACAATAAAAAAGAAAGCATAGCACATGAGACCTACTCACTTGTTGGCTAATTTAAAGTTAGCTTTATAAAAAAAGAAAATGTACACAATAGCAATATGAGAACTCTTAAACCTATGAAAAGGTTCCTCCATTCCATGAAACATCCTCCTATTTCGCTAACTCCAAATTATCCACATAAGGCATAAAGCGGCCAAGAGCCACGCCTTCCTTCTCTTTCCCACCCTTTCGTCCCACTAAGAGTGCATAAAATCTGCTCCTCCTCATAAGGAAAACGCAAAACATTCCAAACATCAACAAAATCAAAAACCCAAACCGGTAACATTATTAAATATCATAGACACCTTAACTATATGGAAAGCTTTCCCAACTATGGAGTTCGTTCGGGGCTTTAGAGTAGATGTTTGTTTGTTGTATCCAGGCAGCATCCCTTTGATGCTTTCTTTTATAAAATTTTACTTTAAAAAAATAATAAATAAAATAAAATAAAAAAAGAGATGCTACTTATTCATTTGGTAGCAACCGAAGTCCAATTTAAAAGCTCTATGTTCAGAATCCAAAAGTAAGCAACCACCACCAAAGGGGTTTTTTATTCAGACTTGGGTGATAGAGCAATTCAAAAACCAATACCTCATGAATGATCATAAAAGAATAGTGTTCCCACCAACCCAGCCAAAAAGGGAGCATATTGTTATTGAGACATTAGCTGGAGACGAGCACAATATGTATACAAAATGTTTCATACTTTTGGACTCTAAAGATATTAATGAGAGATAATAGATTATTTAATACGTTAAGGAGATAGAAACAAAGAGGGTTGAGTGGCTGTTCAAAAGAAGAATGTGAAGCAAGGCTTAAATATCGAAATTACCAAACAAATTGATATCCAAAATATTGGCCATCATTTTTCACAGAAACTGTTATTTGAATATTTTATTCATCCACTGCTTTTAGTTATTTTCCATTATATTCCAAAAAAATCACCGTATCTCTGAAATCTCGGCTGTTATATTTCCGTTCAATATATAAAAATAATGCTCTTGTTTACCCTTTACGTGGGTTGGATAGCTTTTGATATATTACATTGTTGGGCCCATTGCCTAGCAACTTACTTCTCGAACAATTGGTGACTTAACATGATATCAGAGCTCAAGTTAAGAGAGTTCTTCGGTTCAAATCTCTCCATTGGCATTTGGTATTCGGTTCCTTTTTGGTTTATTCTTCTTTATTTGGTTGTTTGCTTCTCCTTATATTTGGTTCTCTATTTGTAAAATAAAAGCGTTGTTTACTTCTTGTTTTGGATAAGTATACTAAAGAAGTTCAAAAGGAAATTTCAAAAAATTAAATGCAGGAAAGCAGCACATACTTCTGAGTGAAGCAACATTCTCTCATCAAATCCAATAGCAGTAGAATTGTCCGACACCAAAAATCGCGAGCATGAATCTACACAAAGAAGAAATTTGAGGACAGTGGCAGAAAAAATGCACTATCTTATTACCAAACCCAACAGTTTAACGAGCACGATAATATGATTAAACATTATTATTTCATTTACCTTACTAAAAAATACAATGTTATTTCATCAAAATGCTAACACCTTGAAATTAAACAAAATTATTATCAAGCCCCCTTGGTGGTTCTAGCATTATTCCTTCTATCTATCAAAGCAAAATTCAAAAATCTCCATGTCAAAGACATTAGGTAGGTAAAAGGTCACCACAAATGCTTCAACAACATAATTAGTACGACTTGTCTCAATCCCAGGAGGTACGCTATTACTGACTAAAAAAGCATTAATTCTGCTAGATCTTTGTGATTTAGTGAGGCAATTAAGAAACTGATTATTCTCAAAATTTCCATGAAATTGTTCCCTTCACCATGCATCAATCCTTAATCTAAGAGATATCCTAAACTAGAAATATTTTTTGCTTCCAGAAACTATATTGCCCTTCAATCAGTGAATCATGCATAATCATGAGATTCAAAGTAATGTTAGTTTCATTAATTATTGGGAGATGATAATTGGGAGACACTCCAATATTTAATGAAATCCTACATTACGAGCAATGCCAATAATGCTAATTAAGAGATATGCAAGCAAACTCATCAATTATTATACTACTTTGAAAATCAACTATTGCAAGAATTTCCATCTCTATAATCAGTACATTTTTCCAGAGTGATCCTCAGAAAAACTCCATTTTCGCGACTTCCTTTTTTTTTCCAACAGATTCTAGACTTGAATATTTTATTCCTTGGAAATCCCCAGGTTAGCATGCATACAACTAGAAACTGATGAAAATTCCAATTTGACAAGTTCTGCCAATCTTCCAAGCAGAAAGAATCTAGTTTAAGCCATCATTCATTGAACTCAATAAACAAATGATGATACAACGCACTTTACCATTTTTTGTGACCTCCTTCCTACTCACAAGAACCTCAGTTATTAATACTCCTAATATGATTAGTTACAATATACATAGATATAAATATATTCAAATTTATAATGATTCATTCAAAAACTACATTTAGAAATAAATCTTTAGCTAAAAAATATAAAACATAAATTCCCCCGACTTTATAGACTACATAAATAACCATTCAACAGAAATACATTGGCTAGGCTTCTTTCCAAAAACAATACTAGGCGTATTTAGTATCAGATAGCCAAAAGACAAAATGGTCTGACCAGAAGCTCCTTAACAAAAACTTTCTCACATTAATGTCAGTGACAGGTAGCAATATGACACAAATCAAATAGCCAACTACATGTAACTACCTTTGTATTGTTCTATTTCCGACTCATTCTGAGTAAGACCTGCTTCTTTCAAGAAAGGAGATGCAAAAAATCCATGCTTAACAATTCCTGATTCTTTATGTTCTCCACATATCTGCATATAGAGGAGATTGCCTCAGATCAACTATAGACAATCACACGTCCATTAAGAAACAGTTAATTGAGTTACAAATTCACAACCTATAAATGAAAATGTTATCATTCAGCAAAAAAAGAAAAAATAAGAAAGAAGAAAAATTAAAGATTAAGCACGAAGCAACAAGAAAGAAGTTGACAATGTAAACCGTACATCACAATGGACAACATCATCTAGATTAACCATTGTACAATTGACACAAAACCACTTTACAACTGTTGTAAGTTTTTGGGAGGGCTCCCAGTCACTATCATCATCGTCGTCGTCAAAATCATATTGATTATTGTACATATCCTCTAAAGTCATTTCTTTCTGCTGTCTTGCTTTTTTCTGCAGTTAAATAACATGGCAAACAGATAAATTCATATTCTCAAGCAGGCCAATGTTATAAGAAAAATAAAATAAAATTTTGAACTAGTTTTATCCCTACATACAGATATAACATCTGGCTGCATGTTCCCATTCATGTTGTCTGCAGTATCTCTGACAGATATTCTTGATGCTCTTTCTTCCCCATAATTTCCATCATGATTAGTAGTAGAACTGATTACAACAGAGCCCACATTTCCATTTCTTCCACTATAGCCTTGACATAGACTTTGATCTCTTTGATTGTGAAGATTGTGCTCCGCTTCTCCATTTGCTAAACGACTCATTGGCACCGTTTCCGAGACAATGATGCATTCAGGGCTGATATGACAATTCTCTGCCAGAATCATTCCTCCATGAACACCAGTCATCAATCAATAATAAGGGAAGCCGTGAAAACAAAGTTAACCCAAAAAATAGCAATAAACAAAAAGAAAATAAAAGGACGAAGAAAAGAATCAACAAATATAAAAGAGAAAGGAAGTCAGTCTAGGGAAAAAAAGGCCAGAAGGCAGAAAGAGGATAGAAAACAGGAAACTAATGATGACTCCATCATCTCTACTTGAAAACATAAGTGGCTGACATTGCAGCAAACAATGCTAGTCAACTCTTGGGAACCAAGGACTAGGCAGTACGTGCCCAAGCAAGGAACAAAATTTCATTCCATTACCATCAAAATGGCCGAAACGTTTCTATTTACTACGAAACCAACACAAAATATTTGAGGAAAACCAAAATTTCAATGTTTCCATTGTTCCATTGAAATGTAACAAAACTCGTCAAAACACTACGAAACACACCGAAACAATAATTTCTTTCAACATATATCAGGGTCCTCAATAAAATTGTTTCTATTTTCCTATTTTGACATTAAAAGAAAAAATTTAAATTGAGAACAATATAAAGGTCCAAAAATTTGATTGAGAATATGAGAAAGTAGAATTGAGAGAGAGAGAGAGAGAGAGTTGAGTCATTTATTCCTTCATTATTATCACAAGTACCTTCTTTTTTATCTTTCCTTATTTCTTCTAAAATCTAGCATTTCTTTCTTCTTCTTTTTCTTACTATGGCAAACCCCAACCCACGGCCCAACCCTTTAAACTAATTATTATTATCTATTAATATTTCTTGATCTTTCTCAAACTTTATTATTAACCTAATTAAAAGACCATTTTAATCTTGTTATGAAAAGGACCTCCCTACCACGCGGAACCCTTTAATATTTGATTGTTATTGTTAATGCTATTATTATCCATATATATTTGTGAACATTGTTTGGTAATAACCTCTTGCACTTTCACAATCATGAAGACTTGTGTTTGATCATTTGTTTGACATTAATTAATTTATTTATTTATTTATTTTTGGTATTAACATTTAATAATAAATTATACACTTGTTTCCTTATGTGAATGGATTAGCAGACATCAAATATGTTTAATTATTTAGTTATTGGTTGCATATATGTTTAAATAAATTTTTCTTTTTTTTCTTTCTGTCTTCGTATTTTTATTTTTGGATTGATGTCAAGAAAATTTTACTAAAAACTTGATGAAATGAGAAAATTACAAACAACAAAGAGATGAGGTCCACCAAAAATTAAAAAACAAAATTACAAAATTTTTGTTTTCAAACACTTTAGTGTGCTTCTAAAATTGTTAATGTTTCCCTCTTATTTCCAAAACATTTCCAAATGCTCCGTTTTAAAGATAATTGAAACAAACAAAATTTTGATCCTTGTGCCCCATCAAGGGGGGCAACACAGCAAGAAGAAATGAAACGACATGCCATAGCTATCTCAACATCAGCAGCATGAACCCATGTGCAATATCTCGTCAACTGGAGAGATGAGCAACACGAGATGGGACAAGCATGTTGAAAAGAAAAGTAGGGAAACAATCCCTAAAATCCCAAAAAATATTTATGCTTGTGATTTGTTGCCTTGGAACCCTAAAATGGTTGAGAGCCAAATGCATATATATTTGACTTTTTGATTGATAGTATTTGACACAAATAGGCACGTTAAAATGTCCTTAATGCCCTTCAATGTCTGATGTGAGGTTGGCATTTTACGTTTGTTCTTTAGACAGTAGTTAGAAGATGGGACTACATTGGATCAATGTGTGAAGTTTAGGGATGCAATTGATACAAATTAAAGATTACATACCAAAATGAAAGTAAATGGTATACTTTAAAGACCACTTGTGTTATTTTCCCATTGAAACTCATTCTTGAGCCATGCATTCACTTATGAAAACTAAACAGGTTTCAAACAAGTTAAACATCGCAAATCATATGTTTAATGTTGGTTACATTTCCAAATAGTTACATGTCACCTCGATTAAGCTAGCTAATCATATTAAGCTCAATTGCATGGAGGTCCAATACAAGTTTTCTTTTCACTAGATCTCAATTGTTCACACAACTTGTTACGCAGCCCCCTTATTTGTCTATTGATTTTTTTCTTTTGTATAGTTGCAAATATTTTGTTACATATTTAGGGTTATGTCTAGATCTAATTTATGTACATACCAATTTTATACTCTCCATAACAACTATTTATATGTCTATTGAAATGAATGCAATTATTCAATTCTCAATATCTTTAAATGGCATCAAAGGATCTCACAGCCTAACATTTCACCTCTGCATTTATTTCAACAAACAACTTTATCTTGTCCGGAGGTTTTGGTGTGCCAAGGTGCCTGTGGCCTCCACGACTTGTTTGCCATGTAGTTGCCCAAGCTTATGTCGTCCTCCACAGTCTCATTACCACTCACCAAGCCTTTTTTCTAATGATCTCTACTCATGTTGTGGTATATTCTTTGTTAATGCCCATCCTCTGTTGTCATTGGGCCCTTCTTTCGTGATTCAACAGGTTATTGTCTTCCCTGTTTATTGATCCTTGTCATTTCTTTCCAGTTCCTCTAGTTCTACAAGTTCTCCATCCTCCATGGCCTCCGATACTACATTCACAATTCCTCACATCACCAATTTAGTGACTATGAAATTAACTTATTCAAAACCACCTTCTTTGATGATCTCAAATTTAGCCCTTTCTTATTGGCTAGAATTTTTGGCATTTTATTTATGGATATATCCTCAATCACTAGAGTTCCTCTTGTGGCCAACCTATTGTCCGAAATCTTAAGTATTTAATTTGGTACCACACCGATCAACCAGTTGCCGGCCTCCACAATGCTACTTTATTTGAGCTCATTTTGGGCTTGGTCATTGGTCTTCACACTTCAGAAGCTGTTTGGAGCCGACTTGAGCATCATTTTTCTCAACAATATGTTGCTCGTGCGTCTAAACTTTGATTTTGCTTATTGTCTCTCACCGGGGATAATCAGACCGTATCTTACTATCTACCTCTATGCCAAGTCCTTGGCAGATTCCTTGGCTTAAATTGGCTAATTGGTGTCCAACAATGATTTAATGATTTATGTTCTTCGTGGTTTGGATCCAAGCTATGACATGATTACAACTACCAACCCTATACTTTCCCCCCTTACCTTATTTTCAAGATCTTTGAGCCCACTTCGTAAGCTTTGAGGCACACACATTCGTTCCTATCCCATCTCCACATACCACCCTTCTGGCCCAACAGTATCGTCTATGATGCACGGACACGGGACAAACACGGACACGCAAATACGTAAATTTTCAAAAAATTGGGGACACGACACGTTGGGGACACGTTTAATATATATAACCTTATTTATTATATATCTAAAATTTAAAAAAAAAAATATTGGTTCTTATAAAATTACAATAATAATAAAATTAATAAATACATTGCCTAAATTTTTTTAATAAAATTTGATTTTTTTCAAATAAAAATAATTTATTTTATAAATTTTAATAAAAACATGGATATAAATAATAAAACAAAAGAAAATAAAAAAGGAGAGGAGAGAATAAAAAAAGGAAAAAGAGACAGAAAAGGGAGGAGAGAGAATAAATGAAATCAGAAGAAGAAAAGAGAAGAAAAGAAGACGAAGACAAAAGAAAAAAGATGAAGGCAGAAGAACACAAAAGAGGACGAAGACGAAGTGAAGAAGAAGATAGAAGAACAGAGAAGAAGAAGAAGAAGAGAGAAGAACAGGTTAGGGTTTGTTCTCTCTTCCCCCGATCTGTCTCTCTCTTCCCTTGATCTATCTCCCTCTCTCTTCCCTCAATCTGTCTCTGGCTCTCTCTTTCTCCTCTCCAACAGTTCTAGGGCTTCTTCGATCCACCCACGTGTCTGAAACATGTCCAACCACGTGTCCGACTGAAAAAATTCCAAAAAAAAGGACATGTAAGGAAAAGTGTCGGACACATGTCCACAGCGTGTCCGTGTCCGACACATGTCCGACACTCATACGTAGGCCTTAGGGACGTGTCCATGCTTTGTAGAGTATCGTGGTACTAATTAGGTCTATCCTAGTTCTAGTGAGAAAGTATTTTATGTAACGGGTACGCCACGTGACCAAAATAACATGATGTACCCTTCCATTCATTAATTGACATGTGATAAAATGGTACTCAAGGAGTCACTTTTGTGCTTAACCCGAAGTGTTGAGTGTTCAGCCACTTCAAATATCAGTCCGACTTTTGACCACAGATTAATTAACGAGAGGAAAGCTGACACCACGCCATCTCGGCCACGTGTCATTCCCATTACATAAAAATACTTTCTCGTAATTCTAGACAACGCACTACAACACTAGTATTGGTAATCAATAAGACATAATAGGAATCAAAATCACAAGACAGGTCGTCACAACCACAACAACAATAGTGGTTCTGGTGTTCATCACCCGCTTAGCTATCTAATAGAACTAGGTACAAAACTGGACCCAGAACAAAAGCAGCTTCATTGTTCATGCTAAGCAAATCTTAGGTACAACAAACCATAAAAATACACAAAGGGCTTTTCGGCTGAAACCCCAATTCTAGGGTTTAGCGTCATTCGAGTTAACAATTAAACTAGCAGACTCAAACTCTACTCATAACTTTGCTTCTGAAATAACCAAATGTATTTATGCATTCAACGAAGATAGCATTCAAATCAAACACCGAACATACATAGATATACACACATATACATATACATATGCATACGATTTATACATATACATATATACATAGATTTTCCTAGAAAGTTGTGAGAACGAAGGAGAGTGAAATGGCTGAGATGAGAGTGGAGTAAGGTGTGATAGATGATTTCACCTGATTAGGTCGACATTTGAGGACTCCATGAACGAAACATTTGCGGACCTTGCAAATATGACAATTTGGGGAGGATCGATGAGGACGGGACACTACCAAAAAAGACTATAGATGGATTTTGCATTGATACCCTTGCTGTTCACTTTATTTCTACATTTCCCCAAATTTTGGGTTTTTGTTTTGTTTTGCGCCGGGTTTTGCACTTGTGCCCTTGTCTTTATATTTCCCCACGTTTTGTCCTTGTTTTCTCCTTTTGCACGGATGCCCTATGAAAGATCTTTTCCAATACTTTCTTCATCCAACCTTCATCAAGTAGTTTATTCAAAAGTCATAGATGATAAGTGGATGAATAAAATATTGGATAGGATCCGAGTCCATATTGTAAACCAATGTTTTAAAAATTGAATCAGTGAGTAAATCAAAAAAGGAATCGGGTAGATGGATCACCGGCTCAACTGTTGGGTCAAAGCAGTCGAACCGTGACATGATAAATATATTTAAACAAATATATACACTAAAAATATAAATAAAAATTAAAAATAAATAAATTCAACAAATCAACTTGCTTGGTTAGGTTTTTCAAAAAACACTTTTCAGAAAATTCTACTTTCTTGTTTTCTATTTTTTTTACTGATTTTTTTTAATATTTTAAGTATTTTTTTTTACTTTTTAGACATAGCTAACATAAATATACCTAAAAAGTAAAAAAAAAGGTGAAAAAAACCTTTTAAAAATTCACTAAATACTAAAAATAGAAAAAAAAATACGAAAATTCAGTACATTTTTTGTATTTTTATGTATTTTTTAATTTTTAAAAATATTTTTTCACAAATTTTTTACTTTTTAGATACATCTAAGTAAGGTACATCTAAAAAAATAAAAAAAAATGTTTAAAATTTTAAAAATATTCACTAAAAATAAAAAAACACGAAAATTAAAATACTCAATTTTCAAAAAACTTAATCAAAAAAGCTCAAACCAAACACATTAAATAGAATTTTCAAATATCACTCACCAAATCAAAAAAATTTTAAAACTTTTTGAAAGCACTTTTTCCAACAAAAAAAAAAAAAACAAAGCAAAATTAATAGGTGAAGCAAAAGCAAAAGACCAAACAGAGCAAAATTTAACATGCACATGACAGTCACATACATATATATATATATATATACACACACACATAAGATAAGGAGTTCAGAGAAATAGGTATAATATACCAGTGTATACGTGCCAACAACAGTGACAAATGTAAGCAATCTGGAAAAAGAAAAAAAAGTTTAATTGGAATTTGGGTTCACCAAACCAAACAGATTTTCATTCACCAAATCATAGATTTTCGTTCACCAAATTACAAATTTTTGCTCACCAAATCAGAGATTTTTGTATACAGGAACCCATCCCCAAATCACAATTTTAAATGGGCTCAATTCAAAAAAAAAAATTTAGTTCATCAAATCACAGATTTTTACTCACCGGATTTGTATCTTCCATTCATCGTAAGAATTCTGTAGTTACTAGATCTGGACAAAGGGAAAATGAGAGTTTGAGAGAGGCCGAAATCGGCGATGGCGACACCCAGAAGAGAGAGAGAGGGGGGAGCTAAAACCCTTCTATTAGCCCTAGGATTTGGAATTTTTTTGAGTGATACATATATATAAATATATATATGAGAGGGAAGTTTGCGCCAAGCAGACAGATCGAGCTAGGTACGGCTAGGGCCTTGCCATTGGGTTGTACGACTGAGTTGGCATAACCGAGGGTAGTTTGGCCAAGGTTTTGAATTACACGTCTGAGTTAGACCGAGGTTCGGAAGTTGGACAAGGCTAGTTGTTCGGTGTGAATCCTTTGTCGAGCTAGGTGAAGCAATGGTGCTTCCGACCAGACTGAACACACCTGTTGCACACCAAGGCCAAGCAAGGTCAGTAGGGACGAATGGGTATAGCTGAAGAAATCGACTAGACGCCTCAGATTTGGGCCAGTCAAGAGTAACGCGGTTCCAAATGGCAGACTATAGCACCCGGCAGAAAGCAACTTGATAGGATTTGCTACGTAGCCCAATCGGAATGCAAGGAGAGGAATCCACTAAAGTTGTGCGTCAATACCTTTTGGCTGTTTGGCCAAATATTGTTTGGCAGTATTGACGCGTATACATGTAAAGAATAGAAAGGGCAGTACAGCCATGCGTCCAGAATAGGACGAGCAGAGTAATACGTACAAAAGGTATTTAAACTGTGCGATGCCTCCACACAATAGGTCTTAAGTAATAAGACTTTCTAGTTATTAGAGCTCTCTCTATTTTTGTCTTCTTTATTTAAAACTGTGCTAACTTGACTGTTTGAGGGATATTCCGGCCACTACCCGCCGGGTAGCTCACCGTCGCTGTGTTCTCAAGTTATCTAGAGTGAAGCGAAGCTTGGACACGAAGAGTACGAAAAGCGATGAATATTTGCTTCCCGTATAATATATATATATATATATTCAACATAACTGACCAGGTTTCAAAACCCATTATGGGTCGCCGATTTTACCGGTTCGCCCACCGAGTCTTCTAGTTTTTTTATTTTACAGTGATTTTGTTCTTTGTCCGAATTTAGAGGGTTTTTTGGATTTGAACAAAACTCGGTTACCGGTTCGACCAATCCGATCAATTGGTCCAGTCTAAGTTTCTAAACATTGTTGTAAACATGTATTCAGAGATTTGTCGAGGCTAACTTCCAGATATTATCGTAAAGGCGTACAATGCCAAGTATTAGGAGACATTTAATGAGATTCTTGATTGCCCGACAAACCTAGCAATCACCTAGTAAAGTGCGATCTTTCAGTCGGACATAGACTAAGAGACTTGCTCACGACGAATCAACTGTTGGCCATAGAGACGATGCAATTGTAGCTACAATGAAGGCAAGTCCGGTAGCAGAGGACAAGAGAGTAACGGGAAAGATTCAAGCAGTCGAACAAGAGAATGGTCGTGCAAATAACCATGGAAGAGATCTAGGGAGTTCGATTTTGGAAAACGTCAAAAAGAAGGCTGAGGAAAAGGGGTATAAAACTCGCAAAATATAAATGGCCTATCTATTTTCGAAACGTCAAACTCTGCCAATCTAAAGTTTTGTTCTTAGTTCTATTATAGTAACCCTTTTTTGTTATTGGCGCAATGAAACAAGTAGACCATATTCTTAAAAATTGTTGTGTTTTTGCCTCGCCAAGCAGATTAAACACGGTCTAATGGGCTACTGATAATCCTTTTGATAGATTAAAATTCCTTACTGAGTTGATTTTGCGCGGTAAAATGAAAGTTAGTGTTTTGCTAAACTTTGAAAACCTTGCTAGGCGGATTTTGCTCGGCAAGAGATTTGTTGATGATTTTTATCAACTTTGGAATTCTTTGCCAGGAGGATTTTGCTCAATAAGAGGTTAGTTGATGGTTTTGATTAACTCTAGAATTCCTTAACGAGCTAAATTTGCTCGTCAAGAAACGAGTTGCCGAGCAGACTTTGCTTGCCAATTTTAAAATTCCTTACCAAGCTGATTTTGCTCGATAAGAGGTTAGTTGTTTGTTTTGATCGCCTCTAGAATTCCTTGATGAGCTGAATTTGCTCACCAAGAAGTAAGTTGCAGAGCGAACTTTGCTCACCAACTTTAAAATCCTTTGCCAGGCGAATTGTGCACGGCAAGAGGTTGATGGTTTTGATCAACTCTAGAATTCCTTGATGACCTAAATTTGCTCGCCAAGATGCAAATTGTCGAGCGGACTTTGCTCACCTATATTAAAATTCCTTGTCGGGCAGATTTTGCTCAGCAAAAGGTCAGTTGATGGTTTTGATCAACTTTGGAATTCCTTGGCGAGATGATTTTGCTTGCCGAAGTTACCGAGCTGAATTTGCTCACCAACTTTGGAATTCCTTATCGAACTAATTTTGCTCTCCAAGAAGTAAGTTGTCGAACTGACTTTGCTCGCCAAACGTTGGAATTCCTTAACGGGTAGATTTTGCTCGGCAAGAGTTTTGTTGATGGTTTTTATCAACTTTGGCATTCCTTGCCGAAGTGGATTCTACTCGCCAATAGGAAAAAATGTCTTATCCAACTCAGTGAATTCCTTACCTACAGCAGATTCAGCTTGGCAAGAAGAAAAGTTGGTGATTTGTCTAACTAAGTGAATTCCTTACCTAGAACAGATTCAGCTCGGCAAGAGGGGGAGTTGGTGATTTGTCCAACTAAGTGTACTCCCTGTTTAGAGCAGTTTGTGCTCGACAAAATGAAAAGTTAGTGATTTGTCCAAGTGAATTCCTTGCGTAAAACAGATTTAGCTTGGCAAGATGAAGAATAGGTGTCTTGTTCAACTAATTAATTCTTCTTGCAAAAGTAGTATTAGCTCGGCAAGATAAAAGTTGAAGATTTGTTCGAGATTTGCTTAAAGCTCTAAAAAAAGAGTAGCACAAAATCTTGGCTAGCTTAAGGCGAACATAAAGGGACACAAATCAAATTGGCCCAAAGGCTCTATCCCTCTTCTTGGCCAACTCAAGGTGAATGTCTTTAAGGATTTGCAAATTTCTCACGAAAACTAGCAATTGCTCCTGGTGAGCTCACTCTAAAGCGGAATTGGGCCATAGAGCTCGGTAAAAAAATTATTGAGAAAATAGCCCGGTTGCTCGATTATAGAGCACTACAAGATGATAACTTGGAGGTAGCTCGGTCATGAGTTAGGGGCAACATTCTTAGTTCGGGCTAAGAGCTAAAAATACGTTTCAGCGCAGTGATGGAACTATGATGAGATTTTTTGTTTGGTTATGTTCCGTCGGGGAGTAGTGGTATCGCCAATCTAAGCTCAAATTTTCCCCCGTCATCGGCTAGACGACTTATTTAAAAAATCATTTTTGATCGAAATGTAGACCTGAGGAAAGACTTTAGCTCAGTTTTGGAGTAGAAGGTAATATTCATAGCTCCGCTGTAGAGCTAAAGGAATTTACTTTGGTTTCAAAATTAGCAAGTGAAGCCCATAGCTCGGTCGAGAGCACAGACCAATTATCGCTTGGCTATATGTTCCTAGCTCGGTAGTGGATATTTTTTAATTCGGTTTATTGAGAACACGGGAAGTAGCTTGGTCGCCAATGGAATTCTATATCAAGGCAATAAATTGTTTCCAAAATTTCATGG